TGACATCTATTGGCTGACTCATCCTGTCCACTTTTTCATAATTCTTCTATAGTATGTGCCCTCTGGTGGGCATTAACATTGGATTCAAAAGTCTTCACCCTTCATGCTGCTCTCATATGTCTGTCTGTCCTCATGCTTCTATCCCAGACCAATGTGATACCTATTTTCCAATCTTTCTCCTTCCAGAAACCTAATCAGCCAGTTAGTCCATTTGCCACTGCCAATGAGTTTGTATCTATTTTACCATTGGGTCACTTCTTTTGTCCATATAAAGTGGGTGACCAGATTTATCTCCTGATTGGAAGAAATTCTGCATCTCCACTGTCTTTCAAGGCCACCCCTGGGTGGTCTCCATCCACGCCTGTTCCAGATAGCTCAACAGAGTGAAACACTAAGGACCTGCAAAGCTACTAAATTAGCCTGTTTATTTATTGCAATAAAGTACAAACTTCTGCATGTTTTCAGCTCTTTGCCCAAGGTTTTCCTATTTCCTAAAGCTTTTTCAATTGTGAGAGCTTGCCCTGATGGCTCTAACACAATGTGCTAAGAGAAGTTGTATATGAACCCACACAACTTTCAGTGATGCCAATATACCAACACCATTTACCTAGTTACCAATTCTGTATGAAGTGCCTAAAAGCCTGTGGGCTCACTACATTAATGTGAGTTAGCCTTTTATCTTATGTAACTGCACAGCATGTATTAGTCGGGCATTTTTCTCAGCTAAGACGGCTAGGAAAGAACCCATCTCGAAACAAGTCAAAAGAGAGGGTATTTGTTCGCCCCTCCTGATGCAAAGGCTGAAGGTGAGCCCAATGCCACGGCTGGGTCCAGGTTTGAAACTCACTTTTTCAATAGTTCTCTATTAGAACGGTTTCTATAGCTGCTGCTTCTGCTTCTCCTTGGGTGCTGGTTTCATTTTCAGCAGGAGAGGTTTTCTGTGCCTGGCAGAGTGGAAGAAGGGCCTTGACAGATCTTTTTGAGTCAGGAACCTTGTGCCTGGAGCCATCTGTGGGCAGGGGACAGATGTGCCATGACTGACCAGGCCTGGGCCATGTGCTTGTGCTGGCAGCCAGAGGGCAGGAGGGTCATTGTGATTGACAGCTATGCCTGACCTTCACAGAATGCGGGTTTGGGTGAAAGTGGGTTCAGGGAATGAGGGGAACTGGACAGGCTCCAACAACAGTTTCCCACTACATGATACCAATACCTGGGTGCTGAGTACAAACGAAAAGTAGCTGAAATTAGGAATTAAAAGACCCGTAGAGAACAACCAAAAAATGGAAGGAAGTTTAAGTGATTCTGCTCAAGGTCAAAGCACTGAGAATATAGGTGCTGAGAATATAGGTGGCAGGAGAGAAAGTATTGTCAGGACAGAGTAAAAGTATAAAACAAAAGACACGTGTTTAATGAATAAGAAGGGAAACAAGAAAAAGGCAAAGGGGAAAAAAATAAAGCAACAAATAGAATCTCCCTAATTAAGGATGGATGGGCAGAGGAGCAGAAGGGAAGGAAGCCAGTCGGCAGACCTCAGTCCCAGGGTGTGACCGCTTTAGGAAAGATTATGAGTGATAACAGATGCTTTAAGGCAACGTGGATTTGGTTTAGGTAACGTTTTTCATTTCATATTGGAACTATAGGAGGTGATTTGTTTCTTAAATAAATAAGAAAAACGCCTGAAGAATATGTGAATGACATTGGATGATTAACAGCTAGAAGCAGTTAAGGCCTGGGTTAAAATCACACTTTTTTGTAAGCTTGGTGAGTCAGAATGATTGTAAATGCTAAATGGTAATTCTTATGAAGTTACCCGGGACAAAAGTAATATCTTTCACAATGCCAGCTTTCACAACTCAAGGTTTTAACACTGTCACTCTAGGCTGGGAAGGGAAATCAGCAGCGTGGAGTGGATAAAACCGGAGACAATCACAAGAGGTTCTGAAACTCAGGAGAATGGAGGGAAGAAGTCTTTTCAAAGAATTGCTATAAAAAGCACACATGGATTGCTGATCTGACATTAATGAATGTATATCAAAATGAGTTAATTCATTCCATTGTGTGATAAGATCACCACTTAGTGATGCCAAGCAATTAAGTGAACTGCAATAATTGCTAAACACCAGGGAATTCAAAGGGCAGAAGTATGCCTGACATCCTGTAAAAGGAATGGCTTGAAAGGTGCCATTGAAAAGCGTCATTTAGGGGCAAAGCCCTTAGAGGTGTGAATTTAAAACAGAATCAACACATTTCTAAGTTTCATGAGACAGAGGTTATCAGGAGTCTCCTATCCGTGAAGAGCTACTACAAGCAAGCGGAGAGGCAGGAATGCACAGGCATATCAGTGTGTATAAATCAGTTCATTCTTAAGAATTATAGGAGGAGGTAGGGAAATTGCTTCTTTAATAATATCCTAATATTCTAACATTTTGATCATCTCTATAAATATTGTTAAAATGTTTTATTAAACATATTTTAGTTTTAGTAGAATGTCAGAAAGACTATACTTGAAATTTATATAAGGAATGAAAATAGGTAAATCAACCTGAAAATGTATGTATACGGTATCTTGAACAATTTAAGAATTAACCAATCAAATGCACAGATGCGAATTCGCTGAGAGGTATTTGTTCATCCAGGTTGGGAAAATCCCACAGAATTTAGAGCCAAAGGCTTGGGACTTTAGAGACAAATGCCCACCTCTACCACTCACAGACATTGGACAAGTTAATCCTTCTGAGCCTATGTTTTCACTTGTAGCAGGGGGGTTCGAATGTCTATTGTGCGGGCACAGGATTATGGAAATTGCTAACATTGCCCCCTGGTTCACCAGATGCTTACACTCTTTGACGGATGGTCACAACACTATAATCACAGGATTGTTGAGAAGTTGACGAGAAGAGTGAGAGTACTGGCTGAACTCTAATTTTATGCAATTATTAAATATAGCTAATAAAGTGATTTGTAGTTTGCTAATGGGAAGACTCAAAAACAAAGTCAGTAAATATCAGATAAGCTTTTCTTTCTTTCTCTTTCTTTCATAACTCTATTCTCCCCAACTCCTTCCTTTTCAATGGACTATATCACTGATTTATTTATAACCCCCTCCCTCCTAGTCCTAAACAGGGATTTAAGACTTTCCCAATCCTACTGCCCTAACCACCATGACCAGTTATATCCACAATATAAAACCTAAGATGACATTCGTTTTTCCCAGACTCAATTCTCTCCCATTGGAATTGGGTGGAGGTGAGGCAGACATTCCATTTTACTTGGAATACCCATCAGCCTTCATATTGCTGGGAGGCCAAGAACCATCATTCAACATCTACTGACACCTGCTTACTATCCTGGGTTTGCAGCTGTCACTTGAAGGGTAAAGATTCCCCACCCAGGGACGTTCAGTGCCCTGGGGATGTCTACTCCATTTTCTTGCCCTTGTTCCCTTCTTGTGGTGTCTTTTGGATCACTTGCATCAAACCAATAAGCTCGCAGATGGTCATCAGTGCTTCAACTAGGGAACCTCACAGTTGACACCAACACAACTGGCTGCTTCAAGAGAGAATTTGTTACACTAATATATTGTATTTCCTCTGGTTAGGGTATTTTGCTTTTCACCCCGTTTTTATAAAATACAAGCCTAACTGAACATAAGATTACACACACACACACACACACGCAATCTTTTTATGTTTAGAGCATGGAAAAGAAAAATTTATGAATTGGAAAGTTCAACCATACGTGAGAAAAGAGAAGGAATCTTTGCTAGCCAGTGAGTTCCAATTATGGTGGTATTAAATCATGTTAAAGTTAATTTAAAGGGGTTCTACACCAGGACAATACCCTTTTTTTCTTAATTATATTTAATAAGATGGATGCAATTAAGCCTGAAACAAGAGAAAAATTTGTGAATGATTTTAAAATACATTGTTCAAGTGGTAGATAAATGGTTGATTATAGCTTCATCTATAACTTCAAGAAAGGAAAAAAGTATGATTAATTGAGGGCCACAGATAAACACTATAGAATGAATGAAACTAACTAGGTTAAATTCACAAATTACATACATAGTACTGTACTTTATGGGAGACTTAAAGGATTTTTTATGGTAATTATGACTATTGGAAATTTTCACTTTACTCGTAAACTTTCAAACCAAGGATGCAGCTGTACAGTTTATTTAAAAAAAAAAAAAGTCCTTGGTTTTATTTACAAAGACGTGGCCCTCACTGCAATAAAAAATAGTATCAAGTAGGACAGCAAAAGGTACTTAGTAAAATTACAAGTAAAATAACAATTCTACATTTGTATTTTAAAGGATAAAATTAATCATACAGATCAATAACAAATGGAAACCCAATGCATTGTCAATAAATGGTCTCCAAAGAAATTTTGGAAAACATTAGGTCAGTAAAGCTAAAGGTGCTTCTTTGTGAACATACTAAAAATTCCGCTGGAGCCCTAAGTCCCTAGTGCCCATCTCGGAAGCCACATATGCTTTAAAGGACACTCTCTTTACACCCATAAGAGCAACTAGGATAATACTGATGAGATCAAGTTGTTACTACAGGCAGGAAAGTAAATGCAGAAGGCTCACAGAGACTGGTAAAATTTTTACTTTGGTAATATAACTTCTGAATTTCATTTTCTTCATCTGTAAAATGGGGGTAATAATACCTTCAAGGGTTACTATGGGAATTGGTGTAATGGACTGTATTTAAAGGTCCTCACTGCAGAGCATGGGTTCCTAAACAAGAGAGACTGCAGTGATGACCACCACTATGCCCCGCCTGTGCGAGGGGCCGTTCTAAGGACAGGAATAAGTTCATTTGTCCTCTTAACCTTTATCTTAACCTCTAAATCCGAAAGTTTCAGGACCAATCATAGAGGAGATTAATACAGCACTTACGATAAAAACTGGCTTGTTCTCTGGCCTCCAAAAGTCCAACAACAAAAATCTTGTAGAAATGTAAACAGGAGGAAGTAAATAGAGGAAAACTATATTTATTTTTCCTTAAGTCAGATTTAATTTTTCAGAAAATGTACTTTCAAACAATAAAATTGCACACACAGAGCTGTGAGAGAGATGAGCACTGCTTATAACTTACAATCACAAAAGGACACCTAGTTCAGTGGTCATCATCCTGGACGTGACAATTCCGTGATTAGAGATACAGATCAGTGAAATGAAAATCTAATTCCTTCCCTCCCCCCCACCCCCTCTCGAAGCCCTGTTTTACAGCACTGTGGTGGGAGGCTTTGAATTGCTTCTTGAAAAGTGCTATCTATGTTACGAGTCTCACACTGACCCCTTCACTAGAATTGCTGATGAGCCGGCACTTTTCTTCACTGAAAGGGAAGTAGCTGAGCACGTTGAACTCTAAGATGGAACTCCCCTCAAGGTTACGAACTTGCCTGATTGTTTGGGCCATACTCTGAGGAACTGTGTTATTTTCAGGTACCTCTAAAAAAAGAGCTGGGTGAGACCAAATGGCTCGAAAATCATTTGAGAAACAAATGACAGGCTCTTGACTAAAATATGTTAATCCCTTATTCAATCTGAGAGTGGAATGTCCTGCACTTAATGACATAAAAGTGTTTGATCTAGATCTCTTGCCAGTTTAATCCTTCATTCATAACATTTCCCCTTATTTAAAGAAGTAGAAATAATTGCGAGAACAGCAGCCAAAGGGCATGGGAAGAAGGCCGGGCCCCTTCCCCGAGTGCGCACCGGGCACCCTGCGCCAGACCCCGAGGGAGCCCTCCCAGAACTCACGCGCATTCCCCGGGGGGCCTCGGCTCCCAGCACTCACCCCACAGGCATCAGGTTCTTCTGAATAAAAAATGAAGCCGCAGATAGGCTTCGCCAGCTACCTCCCCGCACCTTTAGCGCAGGTTTGTAAACCCTTTCTGCATTTTCTGTGAAGAGGCATGTGCACGAAGACACACTGTGCGGCAGCGCAGTTTAAACGGCTGCTCTCGCACCCACGGTGTCTCCTTCATTGGCTCCATTTTTAAAATGAGGCTAAGCAGAAGTGACCAAAACTATGTTTCCCTGGTGGAAGAACCTCCACCAAGAACCCAGAAAACAGGAACTTACTGAGTGGCTTACAATGTGCCAGGATTTTGCAGTTACAGTGAGCGAAACAGAGGTCTGTCTCAGGGAGGTTTTTGGCATCGGCATCCAAAAAATCCTTGGGGGCGAGAGGAGGCTGATGGCTTATACGGAAGAAAGACCAATGGCATCGTTTTAGGTATTGGAGGTACCGGTAGGTGTAAGATGCCAGTTAGACATCCAAATGATGAGAAGGAGGAGGTGGAGAGGTAAGTCTGGGCTGGAGATAAAACGATGCGAGGCGTTAGCATATAGGTAATATTTAAAACTAGGGCACTGCATAAGATTTCCTAGGAAAAAAGTATAAAGAAAGATTATGGTTAAGGGCAGACAGCCCTGAGGCCCTCCAACATTTTAAAGGCTGATAAAGGAGAAAAATTCAAGAAAAGAACCACCAAAGCCTAGAAAACCACAGCAGTCTGGTGTCGTGGAGGCCTAGAGAAAATGTTTCCAGGAGGGAGGGATCGATCACTAGTAATGCTACTGTAAAGTCACATAAAATATGGAGAACTAGCCACTAGTTTTGGCAAAAACAGGAAAGTGTTCATTCCATAATTAAGCAGGCATTTCCCAATGCATTCTATTACTACCAGCAGCTTTAAAGAATAAGAAGGATTCTCTGGGGGTGTATACAAAAGTGGAGTTAGTTTAAAGAGAAATATTTTGCTGTTACGGATTTTAAAAATAAAAAACATTCATTACAAAATTTTCATTCTACTGTATTGTCATTTAAAATTACAAGAATTTAAGCAAATACCATCCAATGTCAGGAGAGATTCAGGGTGATTGTCTGCAGTATTTAGTGACAAAGTAATGGCAGCATGAACATTTTCAATTAATTAAAAAGAACAGTCAGGTTTCATTTAAGTAATAATTAAGATAGGCTTTGTCTCTGTATATAAACTTCCATTTGGCTCATATAATCCCATTTTCTCCAACTGGAAGCTGCGTAGGATCCAGCCCTACTTTCTTCATTGATACAGCAATATCAAACAAATAGTCGTAACACTCACACCTATAAAAGAAAAAGAAAAGAAATGAGGGTCTTTAGCGAAAGAGAATGCTCCAAACCTAACAATCAGTTCTCTCCATCAAGTTGACCCTGCTCCTAGCAAGGTTAGGAATTTTTCTCAATTTCAAGCTAAATTTTTCTTATTTTGCCCATACCATTGTGAAAACATGGAAGGGATTAATATTGAACCATGCAACCATATTATATACTTCTCAGGATCTAAAAGGGAACTTAAAGTATACCACTTATATAAACTTAAATTTGTTACTATGTGCCCCTTTTTGAAATAAATGCAGCAAGTCATTATATAACTTGGATTAGCTTTATCTCCCTTCCAGCCTCAAGCTCCCAGAACAAGATCTGTGTCTCCTTCTTTGTATCAAAGTGCATAGCACCTTGTCAAATAATAGCGCATCCAAGAAATATTTTTAATAAAATACGCAATGCAAATCAAATATCTAGAAATAATTATAATAAACTATTTAAATGTAAATCAATTTGACCAATAACACATAAAAAAAAAAAATCACACTTCATTTGAAACCCAAAGACATATCTTGTACTTTCACATTTAGAGTGTGGTGCCCTGTCCCAAACGTTCCCTGGCTCACACTTACATGGTCTTAGCCTTCTCCCACGTCTCTCCCCAGACATACACTCCGTGACGTCTGACGAGGACCGCACAGGAGTCTGGGTATTCATTCATCGCACGAGCCATTCGTTCCTTGAGGTCTTTCTCCTCCGGTGTATTCTCAATAATTGGTACCACCAACATATCATCATATCTACAAGATGAAACAGGCCATTTTCCCCATTAAAACAAAAGTATTCATATGTAAAATTTACAACTTTTTCAAGCAACCAGTTAGACATCCTCTTTGTAGCTGGGAAGCCACTCCAAATTCTGAACAAGATGTTGCACGTTACGCTGTGTATCTTGCACAAACATCTGTATCAAAAGGCGCCTTGGGAATTTAGCAGGCATTATTCCAATCCTAAGACTAAGTGGCAGAAATCTGTATAGGATACCAAAACCTAACAAAGAAATTATCAAGATCATACAAGTATTTCCTTGAAGCGGAGACAATCAAAACAGTTTTAACAGGAGATGGGAAATGATAGATTTCAGAATCAGAGCTGAAGGAAGGATTAACAATTGAACTACTTAGTAAGTAGGAATTTTTCAATGATACAAAACATTTTACTTTAACTCTGCAGGACCCAAAGTGTCTCAGAGAGACAAATAAATAAATATAGGGGTGGTGTGTGGCACAGGGATAGCAAGAGACTTCTGGAGATCACTATTAAAGGCATGATAATATTTCAGGACATTCTTAAATAAGAACCTCATTTATTCCACCTTGTTTCAGTAAATCCATGTTACAAAATCAGAATGTTTTCCTTTTTTTCATGTAATAACATTTAATCAAATAACTTAGTTACTATAAAGTTTAAGTCTATTCCTGAGGTCATTTATAACCAGTCAAAACTCAGACATGTTTTCCTTTTTACATGAATTTCTCTTGCCTTGAGAATATAACACCTGCTTTTTCACTGCCTCTGTAATGGCTAAACCTAACCCAAAAGTTCTGCTGAAGCAGTATCAGAAATCACTACTGTGGGCAGGTACAGGCTGAGTAGCTGCCATGGGTAACTGGGCCAACCATTATTATTAACAGTATGGAGTGGGGCTCATTATTTCACTTGAGTAGAGGTAATTATAAAATATTCTTAAATATGGAAGGAATGGTTTGCTAGTCCCAAATCTTTCCTCATATTAGCCAGGAGAACCACAAGCTTATATTTTTCTCTAGCATATACTGAATAGTCAGACATTTTCAGGGGCAAAATAATTTCACAGCAAAAAAGACCTGAAAGCTAATTCAATCCAAGCCACCCACTTTAAGGCTGGAACACTAATCCTTACAAGCCAGATGACGAACAGAGCCAGGGTCGTCCTTGACCATCAAACACTGTTCCTTTCACTCTACCATGATAAAAGCATGCTGCTTCTAAAAGGGAGAGTAATTATACTTAAATATGGTAACTTCCCCTAAGAATTAGGTATTTGAAAATGTTCTTTTTCCAAGACGGACTTTAAGAAATAGAGTAGAGACTACCAGAACCCTGCTTTCTTACTCCATCTAGGCTTCTTTGGTCCTTCTTGGAAAACGGGACTCCAGGACCCTCCCCAGACTCTGATAAAATATCACTCACTCCCCCTGAGCTGCAAAAATGACCGAGCCACTGATTTCCCAGCCAGGCTCAAACAGAATCCCAAAGGACGGCTCAAAAAAGTCTATATTCTTTCAACTCGGAAACAGTAGCAAGAACACACCAAATGTATATGTAACAATACGTAAGAAATGGCATCTTTTAAAAAATTTATGTTTTTTTTTCCTCCCACAAAATCCCAAAGCTCTGTGTTGTGCTCTGCTCCCCTACCCACCCTTTCATATGCTCTTTTATTTTTACCCCTTCACCAAAGCAAGCAAACGCTGGTGAAGCTGATATCTCACGTAGTGCCTTTCCTTCAAGACCCAGATACGAAAAGGCAACTATACTTTCTTTAGTATGTACACTTTCACAATATAAATATTTAACTTCTGTAAACAGGTATTTCACAGTGCTGAGGAATGCTGTAGGCACACAATAAATATTAACTAAAATCAAATCAAATTAATTTCTTGGCACACTAGTTTAAACATGTACCTTCTATCACATGCAGCAACAGTAAGATGCTGCTGTAAGAACACTTGAGAAAAACTGGCTCCCTTTTCCTCTAAACAAGGCCCTTTAGGAAATCAGCAATGTGAAGGCTCGGGAGTAAGCATGCCAGTACATTCAAATGAAATGCTTAGCTCGGACCCGAGCCCCGAGAACATGTCTCACCACCTCACTATATTCTAAATGGATGAATAGCTGTTACGTTTTTGTGGGCTGGTGGGTTTGACTTTGTCCAGGCCTTTGTTCTGTACTATCTATGCCACTTTCCACACTGAAAAATGATAAAAATATGGAGGTCTACTTAATGGAAATAATTATAAAACTTTTATCAATACGAACATATTCTAGAAATACTAAACCAAAGAAAAACGAAGTGAAAACTTTAGTGGGGGCTGAAACTTCCTGCAGCAGTGAAGGGGGGGAGACCTTGCTCCGTTGCTTCCACGCAGGGACAGACTCTTTCCATCTCCACAGAAGTCTCAGCCGAGGTTTTGCCATTTTGCTGACAAACACTTCATTATTCACGCTGCTAATAATTTACCAAGGCTGTGGTCAAAGTGGGGGAGGCAGGGGGCATCTGACTTGTGTCTCTAAGAACAGACCTAGAAGTATAACATTAAGTGGGGGATGATTTAACAGAAATCATGAAATGCATTAAAAAAATCAGTAGCCTGTTTATCAAAAGAAAAAATACTTCTCAAATTATTTAAGCAAAAGTAGAAAAAAAATACCTATAACACCCTCCCGAGGTACACTTCCTTATTCCTTTTATCATCTCTTGATGTGTAATTTTAAACTCCCGTCCTGGAAACAGGAGGGTGGCCATGACCGCAGCTTTAGAGTGGGTGTGAATCACGGCGCCCGCTCCTGCAGGGGAAGTAAAAGTCGCATGTGCGGTGAAAGCTAAATTATACCTTTTAAAGAAAAAAAACCATATATACATGCGCACACACATTTATATATAGACTTGTTTCCCTAGGCTTGAAATAAGTTGGCAGTAGATAGTAACGTAGGAGGGAGGGAGGAAAAGAGAAATACTAATAGAGGAGTCAGAAAGCAAAAAAATTTACACTTTATCCAGCATCAGAACCATTTATAATGCTTTACATGTGCTCATGAAATATCTTGTAGGTGGTCTGAAGTACAGCTGTAATAATCACGGAGATCATAATCATGCTACCACCACTTACTCGGGGGTTCCTATGTGCCAGGCAACGGGCAACCTCCCTTTCAATTTGTCATCTCTTCGCGTCATCACAGTCACCACAGTGGTCACCATTTAGTGATCAGTGGAGGCTCAGAGAAATTAAAAAGCTTGTCCAAGGCTCACAGGCTGCAGCGACAGAACTTGAATGTGAGCCCAGGTCCGCCTGACCCTTGCTCTCCAAGGTCAGCGTCACCGCGGACACGCTCTGGCAGCAGAGGGGCGGCAGGGGTTTTACGGTGTCCATGTAACGGACTGATCATGTTCGGGAACAGGACACGGCTTGGCGACTTACTCGATACCGGTTTCACAGGGACCACAGGAAAGCACACAGTGAGTTTTTCAAAAGGAGAGGCGCACTCCCACCAAGGTGAAGAAAAGGCCGATTCTCCTTCCCTGTAATTTGATTTACTTCTACCACAAGTTCCAGACGGAGAACTGTAAGCCAAGAGTGGGAGTGCGACTTAGACACCATCTTTACTCACTCTGACCGTCTAGTGGAGCCCGCTGATCTCAGCTGGAATTCTGGCCCCAATACCCACCTGCGGTTTATTTTGGAAAAATCTTCCCAGAGCCTCTGTCCTCTCTTATGTAAAATGGACTAATAATGGACCTTCCATACAGGCCGATGTGAGGACCGAGGAGTCAACACACTGAAAACTCTTGCACATAGCAGGGACCCAAGAAATGTTCACTGCAGCAACAGTTACCATTATTTAGGGGAGCCTACTCTGCAAATATATATATACACACACACATACACACACATATATATTTAAATATGTCTTTACTGATTTCAGAGAGAGGAAGGGAGAGGGAGAGAGAGAGTTAGAAACATCAACGATGAGAGAGTCGTCATTGATCGGCTGCCTCCTGCACGCCCCCTGCCAGGGATCGAGCCTCGCAAATATTCTTTATATCAAATACATTCCTGCCTACCTCTCATAGTGTAAGCGTTCATAAAAAGAGGAGTACACTGGCTTTTCTTTAGATTCTTATATGGCGGAGGTCCGCTTATATCCTGCTCATTGATGTTACAAACGAACATGTCTTCAGGCTATTTTTGGGGGGCAAAAGAGAAAAAAAGGCTTATATAGTATCATTAGAAATGTCCCTTCTCAGTTAAGATGGTACTCATATTGATGTTTCTCTCCCTCTCTCTTACCCTCCCTTCCTCCCTTCTGCTCACTCTAAAAAAAAAAATCAATGAAAAAAAAATCCTTGGTGAAGATAAAAATAATTAAAATTTTATAAAAAGAAAGAAAGAAATGTCCCTTCTTGTACATACAGGGGTGGGCAAAAGTGGGTTTAGCGAGTTTACAGTTATGAGTATGCAAAACAGAGTTTATTCTTCTATTATGTATTAGTTATTGTATTATATTTGTATTACAACTGTGAGCCTACTTTTGCCATTCCCTGTATAGAGTATACGTACACTCACATGCAAAGTGATAATATTTATGTACACACAATCAACTTATATTTAAAATATTCATATAATTATAGTTTCTCAAAAATTTTTACACATTTTGAGAAAAAATATTTTATACTAATGAAAATATTCTCAGGAGCGCTAAAAAAAAAATCTTCCTTTAGAATTTGAAGAAAAAGCTGATATGGAATATTTAACATGTATGCAATGATGTTGCTGTCACTTCATCAATTTAGGTTCTGAATCTTGCTCTGTAATTTCACAACTATATTTCAGAGAGGCTATATAAAGAAACCATTATTCTAAGGTGGGTGTTACAATTTCATAATATAAGAGGAAAAATATAAAAATTTTCTTATCCTGAGATACTTCACTGATCCTCAGAAATGTTAATCTCAATAAGGTATATTATTCTTAAAGTTCTAAGGAATTATGTAGAGCCATGGGTATTTCCTAGTACTGCATGCACATTTCTGACTTGTAACCTTCATTCCCAGGGTTTATTATAAACTACAAACTACAGGGTTTATTACAAATGTTTTATTAATGAAGCATTATGTCATAGATAAAAGTTAAGTATTATGTGGTTGTTTTAAATAGATTTTGGGTATTAGTCTAACATTAATACAAATGAGTCTTCTCAAAATTTTGAAATAAGTTTTGTAATTTTAAATTGGAATAGCGTTGCTATTATTAAATAGGAATCAGTTTGGTTCATTTGAGACCATCAACCTGACTATCCTACTAGCCTGATAAAGATGGTGTTAGAATGCTGCAAAGGTAGAATAGAAGACTTAAGACTGCGCTACTCACTGTTGCCCTCTAGAGGTGGAATGAGAGTTCAAAACACACTGGTTGCAAGCAGGTAACTTAGTCATCACCTTAACAAATTTAACAGGTACTCAACAAATGTTTGTTGATTAGTTATTTAAATTATCACAATATAACCATTCTTCAAAACTAACATTTCTTTTAAAATTAATTCAACTTCACAAAACAGCAGTTGAGTAGAGAAGAAAAGACATTTGGGTTTGAGAAGAATCCGTTTGCCATACCTGAATCCGTTCCTTCTGCACTCCTGAAGGGGCAATGTAGATTTCATTGCTGGTAACACAAAACACAGAAATTGGTATTTACTGAACTCTGATGTTCTGCTTTTGCACACAAAAAGACGTATCCTTGCAGTCCAAACATTAAAGTTCTGCATAAATCAAGTCGTACAAATTGCGGTTTGATTTAATTAATGCTATAGGCTGTACAGAAAGAATACCAAATACTTTAATGCCTTTGCAATGCTGGTGACACTGTAAAATGTTGATAGTTACTTTAGTCTTCTACGTTTTCATATATATTTCTTTTTATGTGGCAAAATCATTGGTAACCAGGCTTTTACCTGGTTAGGAGAAATAAAATTGAAAACACAAGTCTTTAGCGTGAACCTTTAAGCATGAATGAGCTGAATTTGTCCTAGTATGTGTGGAATACAGTTATTCTAAAGTCCAATCAGGAGAACATATGCTCACTAGAAGTAGATGTCTGTCGTGCAATTTAAATGCTCTCGTTATAAAACATGAAGTTCAGAGACCTCTGCTGGGCAGTTTATTAAATTATATCATTAACACGGCTACTTTTTGGGTGAAACAAACAGTATGCTTCCTGTTTGAAAAACATATCTACCTTATGAAAATATTTGGGTAATAGAGCTAAAATAATTACAGAAGTTACAAATATAAAAGGCAGGCTACATCTGGAGATCTCCGTTACAGAATGTTGTGTTATACCTTGCCATTCAGCACAAGGTGCTCTCAAATTTGATTTGGAAATTAATTTCAAAAAATCTCTAAATTCTCTCCCCACTCAACAAAGATCCTTTGGCTCATTTATCAGTTTCAGGGGCCACCAAAGGGTTCAGAGCTGCCACACACATGCAAAAGAAGAACCGCCAGCACATGCATGCTTCAGCTTCTGCCACTGAGCCACGGACACTAGGACACTGAATTAACTGTTTCACTACTGTTTCATAGTGAAAATAAGGATGAGAGCCTGTATTGAATCAAGATGTCAAAGTTGGGGTCACTAGTAAACTTATAGACTCAAAACTGACAAAAGTGTAAGGAAATGAAAGTTCCTTTAATGGTCCACTGGTAAATTAAGGTCTAGAAAAGAAACGACTAACCTGATCCTGGCGGTGAAATCCAAAGCACAGTAAGCAACATTCAAACATTTGTTTTCACCAAGTAGCCAGTGCTTCAGAGCTCTGTTGCCTAAGAAAACCATAGAGTGGCATTTCCCTAGAACCAGTGGGGGTGGGTAGGGAATCTCACTGTTAAAAAGAGCCCTTTACAATGACCGGGGATCCAAATATTTTGTCCATGGGTCACACAGAAGAAACTCTAGAGTCATACATGGTATGGAGTCCAATGACCTCCAGTGGCAAGTGTAACTGCAGGTCTTCTTATGTGGGAGAAACTTAGGCAGCCCTGGGAACAGGCCCAAGTAAAGTACAAAACAGTCTGCTAGTAAATAAAACCCATCGACAAAGTAGGAAAATCAAGGGTATTTATTCTGTTTATTCAAGTGATTTGGAACGCCAAATCTGTTTTTAGTATTGCCTTTGTAAAATGGAAATGAGCTTAGACTTTGATCAAGGTTGGGTAATTAAAAGATTAGGTAAATAGGTTTTAGAAAAAAATATATTTACACCTACAAAGAAGGACATATCTGGATAAAAATACAAAGATAACAAGAGCTTTTATTTTAGGAGGGAAATATGCCAAAGACTAAAAGTGAAGTGTTGACTTGGTTAAGCCACAAACAAAAAGCATTTTAAATTTCAAGGTATTAAGTTTTGGAATTTATTTCTCTAAATTCCCTGTTCTTTCACAAGTGGTAAGCAGATGGACAAAACCCAAGAGTTCGTAATACACCTATTTCTATTTACTGTCTAGTCATTTAAATCTTACTATGCCTTAATTAACTTGACTATATATGGGTTTATTAATTTTAATTCTAATAGCATGTGACAGGATTAGCATCTCTGACATATAATATTACAGCCCTGAAAACAGGAAATGCTAAATGTGAATGGTAGGGACCCAACCTAAACTCAATGGCTGTTGAGTATCCCAGGGTTGCCTTGATTACTGTCATTTTCTTGGTCTTCCATTTCCTGCTTCTGATTTAAATCTTATATGTGTCTTAAGCTGTCTTTTATATACATCTTTTGGTACCACACAGCAGTAGCATAATCTGGAATACTATCAGCCAAACCTTGAAATCAGTAAATAATTTTATATTCCCAAAGAGCTTATTGTCAGTATTGTTCTGGAAACATAATCTATTGGGTTTGTCTTTCATTCCAAATTTCTTTGTTCTAAGCATCAAAGAAAACCAAACTTTCACTAATAACATGAGAATAATATTGCTAATAAAGTAGTTGATATGGGCTTATGAAGTCATTTAATTATTAGGGGAAAAATTCAACATTTTAGTACAAATTACTTTTTATTATTATTATTTTTACTTTCCTATGTAAGGCACAAATTTATTAAGATTCCAAATACAGAGCCATAAAACTGTGGCTGTTTCCACTTGTGACCTCCAGGGGGAGCTCCTCACCCGTTAAGAATCTAAGGCAAAAAGCACTTCACACATGATGCAACTTTCCTGTGAACGGATTACAGTGCTATAAAAGCCATTTAATTTTAAAAGGTGCCAGTGAGTGTTTTAGGGTGACCACACAATTCAGTATATGCATTAGTAAAATTCTTCTAGAAAGAACATAGTCTTGTATGTCTTTATTTTTTTAAATCCCTTAAGATTTGCAATGACCCCTTCTCTGCATTCTATTTTTGATGTGGCTTTTCCTTTTTTTTAAAGATCCAGTTAAAAATGGTTATTTTAACTCAGCTTGGTAGAAAGCTCTACTTTGAACATACACAAACTACAATATGCAAATAAAAAGCAGTTAAGGGCAATGTTTAGAATAATACAGCGGAGGACCCAATACCGGGACTCAACTTCTAAATGTATAAAACAACAACAAATGTTTTCATAGGACTCTGCTGGAAACAGGTCATCTTAAAAGCTTTGGCAAAATAATCCGAAAGCCTGCCTGATGCTGACCTGACATGTTATCGCTGGGTTGATGGTAAGAAAAGAGGCATGGGTGACATCCCATGCGTCACGTGGACTGTGACCTTCCCAGGCCGAGTGTATCCCCGTGCACATAACTGTGACAGTGGTTGACTAAGGCCCCTTCTGCATTTCCCACAGTTCAATGAATATTTCCTGAGTTACTCGGTAATTTGAATCAGATGAAATTACAATGGCATCATCTTGCCATAAAACCCCTTTTGTTCAAAATGTCCTGATGACATTTTACATTCCATTCCTCTCAAAATGCAGCCTACTTGGGGGGCATTACTATATATACTCAATATCATATAAATATTGTAGTAACCCAATTTTATTAAAGAAAGTGAGTTAGGATAGAGAAATAAATCAAGTTACTGAATTTAACATTCAGCCTCCACAGAGTAACATCGTAACCATTTTAGGAGGAAAAACACTTGAGAGAGCGAGATTCCACAAGCTCTTTACACTGTCCGTAAGTTACTTATTGCTTCATCCTCTTGGAGGAAAGATGCTGAATAAATCTAATAAAGTAGTAAATACTATTCATTCCTTCTGCTTCTAGTTCAGTACCTCGTTCTGCCCGCCGAGCAACATGGACCAGCAGGTGCTATGCCCATCAAAAATGACACATGTGCTTAGAAAGGCATATTGCCTTTCTTTTGACTCAATAAAACGTAATTTTCAGGATTTTGATGGTTAGTAATTTGTATTTAAGTGACTTTAAAATATGTATCTGAGCCTTTGAAACAAATCTTGTCGACCTCTGCAATTCCAGACACATGAACATACCTGGCAGCATGTTATTTACCTCTGGTACTCCACAGACTGAGGACCAAATTATTCAGATTAGAAACTGTGTATACCCAAGTCCTTAGGTTTTTATTATATTTGCAACTCCAGCATACTTGTTCCACTCCATTATGCAAATATCTATTTCTCCAAGTAGAAATAAAATATCTTCAGTATCACATAAAACTGCACATCAGTTGTTCTTTGGGCATAATGTAGTTAGGCTCTCATGATCTACTTCTACGGAGAATTCCCAGAAATGAAAGCATCCAGAAACTTACCCATACTTCAAGCTAATTCCTCCTCCAGTCCCAGTGACCCAGCCCAAATGGTAAAACTGTTTGCAAAGCTCTGGGATCAGGTGTCTTGGATGTTCCTTGTCCTTAAAAAGAGGACAATGATTTTAAAAATAGACATTATTTTATCAATTGACTATTCTACTGCTATCTCTGTAAGAAGCCAGTTTAAGGAAGTATAAGAAAATCAGCCACACAGAGGGTACTGTGAGGGAGAAAACTATTATAAAACATAGTTTGTTTTTAATGTTTAGAAAGTGGATCTACTACATTATTTGGCAACCTGAAATTATTCAGCATAAGGCCTACAGTCCAATACTGGAACAGGCTGCAAGAACAAAGTGGGGAAATGCTCAGTGTATATTACAAAGTGTCCATTGAGATGGCTGAAATAAAATAAAATAAAATCTAGTATTGAAAGGAACATGCTTGTCATCTAGCAAATTTCTTTACACAAAACAATTCATTAAGGCCCTACATATATGAATACACTATTATAGCTCTTTGTTCATATTCTGCGTGGTGGTTCAATTTTTTTTATTCTAAAGATGCTTTGTCTTTTTATCATAGTGACTGTATGATTTTCTCTTATTACAAAAGCAATATATACTCATTATGAACTATAAAGTCAAGAAAATAACATAAAAAGCACTCACTCAGAAACAATCATAGTTCTGTGAAGACAGGCGTGTACAGGAACACATGCATGTATGCTGGGATAAACACTGAACAAAACTCTGGTGAACTTGAGCTTCAATTTTGATAGCTATGTGAGCACCTAGGGAGTGCTCAAAATGGGGCATCTAATAGAAAATCCCTACGTATGCTAGAGACCCCAAGAAGCTATTCCCTCAGCTAACATAGACCCACTGTGCAGAAGGCACAGCAAGGAAGCTGCCTGTATGAATCTTGGCACTGGGTAAAAGGGAAAAATATCTTTGAGTCCAAACAAATTATTATTGAACAGACTGAATTTTTGGCTACTTAAATGGATTTCTGAAATCATGGTGTTTTTCCAAATTCACTGTTAATATTTGACATGTACATTGTATTTTAGGGAAGTGTTATGAATGATAAGTTGATGGAGTAGATTCAAAATGTAAAATTAAGAACATGGGAACGCTGAAATTTTTTAAAGTTCTGATTCAGCATATGGCTTAGGGATTAATGAACATAAACCATATTATACAATTTTTTGCTTACATGACTTCAGAGCTTCAGTCTACTGATCCATAAAATGAGAACATTATGAAGATTAAAATGAGATCTAATGAATATAAAGCACCCAGCACAATGTGTGACCCAGTCAATGTTAGTTTCTTTCCTATTTTAATGAGTTAAAAATTCTTAAATTAAAATTGATAGTAAGGCTATGTTGGTTTTTCTTATAGCAGTCCTTACGAAATCAAGCCAAATTATCCATACCCTGTACAATTTGCTATTTCCTTTTTTAGGGATATAAATGATATTTTAATTACATAGTAAAGTACAGCTAATGAGAAGACTACAGTAGTTCTCCAATCCTTAAAACCACCAATTTGCACAGCAAGTTCCAAACATTATAGAAAATGGTCTGTTATTAAGGGTCTCCCTTTGCCCTTTTGTCTTTTCCAGTACTGAGGTATTATAGCAATTAGCCAGCTTTGTTCTACAGGAATAACAGTGATACGGCAGCTGTTGTTAATGAAGTTTCATTCAATCGTTCAAACCCACAAAATTACAACTTCAGAAAGAATAATCACTTAGCATCGGGAACCAACAGAGACATATTTAGTAAAAATGCAGTCATTTAAATTTTCCAGAGTAAAAATCAGAATATATATATATTTTAACAAGAATGGACAGGAAGGAAAGGTTTAGTTAGTACTTAGTTTTCCCGTGAGTGTCAATGACATTACTTGTCTATTATTGTTACATCTGGTTTTCAATTAGAATAAGAATTTTGAAAGATGTATCTAAAGATGGATACAATCAACTGCTTACAGTAGAGGGTCTACTCTTAAGTGAGGGAGAAACATTTAACAGTGTACAGAATTTTGTATGTATTAAAAGACATTAAAGTCTAAAGCATAATAGAGGCTTGTATTGCTCAGACAGAGGTTTTGCTGGGGACTCTAATACAAATAAATATAAAATGAACATGTGTCAAAGATATTACTTAACCCATCAATTAATGAGGGAACCAGAAAGATGTTACAACTGGTACCAAAGAGAATTCAAAAGAAACACATGCTCATGTAAGTAATCGGGAATCCTGGATTTACAAATAAAGCAAAAACAGGACAGTATCCACCAGACAGCAAGAGGTTGAATGCCCATAACACAACTTGCAATTCCATGAACAATCATCATCTGCACTGCTGTCAGTATTCTACAATTCAGGGCTGTAAAGTAGCTAAAAGAGAACCCAAGACAGCTAGCAATCTTGTTTGCTCATTTCAGTCTTTGACAATTTTTCCTGACACTGGCCTCAGGAAGGGACTGGATGCACACACAGCAAAGTTGTCAGCATTGTCTGTCCCTGGGTTTGTGCTTTCTGCACATTTGTTTCATTCTCCTCTCTGTGCATGAGTTTTCTCTGCAACTTCACCTCTGCTCAAAGCCCTCTGCCACACTTAGAAACTCTTCTTCACAGTAGTCAAGGCCTAACCAGAAATCAGAAGACCTTAAGGCAAGTCAGTGACCCTTTCTGGGTATCAATTTCCTTATATTAATAATCTGGATCAGTGATTCTCAGGCTAATGAATTTTAAGACCACTAGTTTTTGTTGCTTTTAAATTTTAGGAACTGACATAAGGTTGCCAAGTTATAGCATTAATTATACTTAACAATAACTATGGCCTTCCTTAAAAGAGTACATTTTTAACATAAAAAAGTTAGGAAGGATAATCACAGAATTAAAGGTAATCCTTTAAATTGAATACAATTAATTTTATGAAATTTACTTTTTCACTGTCCTTATTTTTCTTATTTTGCAATAGTCAAGTAAAAATTCTTTCAGAGGCTGATATTTGGGGAAGGATTAAGGTTATCTTTTTCTGTCTGGTCCCTTTGCCAACAATTTCTCCTTCACCAGCTTGCTTACTTTCACTTTTTTACATGTCTCCTAGTTCTATTTAACCTAGTTGTGGATGTCAACCACGAGGAGGATGGCTCTTAAAGACCTGCTAGTGTTCACACCATGGTATATAGTTCCTCCCCACATTGTACTAGGGTTGGTCTGTATGACCAACAGACTGCTGCAGAAGAGGTAGTATGTCACTTCTGGGATTAGGCTCTAAGACTATAGCTTCCATCTTGGTTGAGCGCTCTCTCTCTCTCTCTCTCTCTCTCTCTCTCTGATCACTTGGTGTGGGGAAAGCCAGCTGCTCAAGATACTCAGCCAGCCTATGCAGAAGGCCACGTGGTGAAGAACTGAGGCCTGTGGCCAACAATCAGTGAGGAACAGAGCCTGCCAACAACATGAGTGGGCTTAGAAGCTCACCCCAGCTGCAGTCTAGACTTGAGATCAACTGTGGTTCCAGCTGACAGCTTGACTGCCAACTCATGAGAGACCATGAGCCAGAACCTCAAGCTAAACTCTCCTGGATTCCTAATCCTCAAAACTGAGACAACAAATGTTTGCATTTTAAGCTTAAGTTTTAGGATACTTGTTACACAGCAGAAGATCACTAAGACATTTTCTTGCCGGCCAAGAATACATTTTTTTCTTTGCACTGTTATTGCTCACGCTGGATCTCCAATAATCCCAACTCTAGCTGTCAGACTCCTGCTTGTCAGCCTTTACAACTGGCCCCCTACCCACTTCATCTATGCTTCCTTCTTCCTTGGACTCTGTGCAATAACATTTGCTCTAGGTACCTTTCTTTTGGTATTATGGAACCCTCTCATTCATTCAGCCACTTTTACTGAAGGGGGCAGTTTTATAAAGTAAACCTACTTTTGCCCCACCCTGTGTGGAATAATACAATTGATATCAAGAATAGCTACCATTTTTTGAGTGCTTATTTTGTGCCAGGCACTATTCTACAGGGACTTTATATGGACTTTACTTAATCCTTACAATAACTGTATTTTACTAAGAAAGATTAATTTGTTCAAGACCACCCCAGTAGAGAAGCAACATTTGAATCCAGGCAATGTGATTCTAGATGCCTAGTCCTTAAGCTTTTACATTATAATGTAGTGGAAAGAGGAAGAAATTGAAGTTGAAAAGTTCACACCTAATAGCTTCCATTTTCTTGGAGATTTTGGAGGCAAGGATATCTATGAAACGGGCCTGGGGCAGAGGATGAGGGTAGATAGTGAGGTTTTGGGATAGCCACTTATGGGAATGTGAAAGGGAGCTCCCCAGAGGCCTGCTTGAGATGCTCAGGGGCTAGCAGTAGGGCATCATAATACTTGTAGAGACACTGAAGGGGTTCAGAACAGGCCCCCCAAGATGTGTCACTTTGACATGTGAATTATTTTGAGTGGAAGGCAATCGTGAACCTGCAGACTCAGGAGAAACTACCACTCCCTTAAAGAATTTAAATTTGGGGCCTTGCCCATAAGAGTTACAGTATTACCTGAAATAACTTTTCATGACCTATCTAAAAAGCGGGGCAAACTTCTAATTACTTAGCATCTGCTCTTCTTACCATTCTAAGAATGACCTTCCTCTCCACTCAGAAGCTCCAAGGCACCTTACCTGTGCTCAGAAAATCACGTGCACTTTACCTTTCTGTCTCTGAACCGCCCATGTATGTAGGGGTCTCTGGCTCTCTTGTGTATACGGGGTTCCCTTATGTACTATGTCATTAAATTTGGTTATTTTCTCTTATTAATCTGTCTCATGTTGACTTAACAGAGCAGCCAGAAGAACCTGGAAGGGTAGAGGAAAACTTCCTCCTCCCCCACAAGTATTTCATGAAATCTCCAGCTGGTTATTACTTTTTAATTGGGACCTTCAGCCCTAAGAAAGAATGGGATGGGAATAAGGGGGCTAATTTTCTCTCTGCCTCATAAGCAAGGCTTCTCACACTGCACTGAAATTGTCTAGTACTCCTCTAGACCCTAGGCCATTTGCCTTAATCATCACTGTATCCATGGGCACGCAGGTGCTCCATAAAATTGTTGGCGTGTATAAGGAAATGAAAAGCCTATGCAGCCCCAGGGTGGGTTTCCCTTTGACTTCAGCTTAAGGAGGAATCGTTGTGTGATCACCCCATAATCAATCTAAATTGAGGCAGGAAGACTGCTGGGAGGGAAGGTGCTGGCTCCTGCAGCGCAGCTCCGTCCAGGCGCGCGCTTGCCTAGGGCGGGCTTTGCGCACGGGGCCGGTCGCCGGGGCGCACAGGGGAGCCGGGAAGCTCCGACTCGGCTCCAGGGCCGCTCCAGCGCCGCTCGTTCCCTGGACTGGCCCGTCGTCCTGATAACGGTAAGTTGCTTTAAAACACACATTTAAGACACCAAACGCCCTCTTCCGTTGTTTTTCCTTTTTTTAACCGTTGGCGCCCAGGTCCGGCCGCAGGAAAACGGGCCTTCCCGCCGCCATGCAGCAGCGTAGGCTGCGCTGCGCGGGGGTCGCGCGGGGACTGCGCCGCAGCCCCCCGGGAAGCCTCTGCCACGTCCCCCCAGCGCCTGGCCTCCTCGGAATAAAGGGCACCGGCGGCCCC